AAGTCACATAATATACTCCCTAAGCCGTAGTTTGTATGTTCAATTCTCATTCCATTTCGTAAATAAAATATTAAACTCATCAAGCAAATTAATTAGGTGTAAAACAAACCTCTAAAGCGTTAAGAAAACTCATTTGGTGTAATTGAACAATTCTTTTACTTGGAATGGTGAGAATACAAATATTTTCTTGGTCATTCCTGATTCTATTATGTACCGTAAAACTATTAATTCGCAGTCTCTGTTAATTTGCGCACCAAATTCATTTTAATTAATTTTGTATTTTTGTAATTCCTGTTAAAAGCAATGCATCTTAACATTTTCAATACAGATGGAACATAGAAAGCATTGCTCTCAGCTTGAACAACTTTATTAAAGAGCTATGTTGTTGAAAGTTCATTGCTCAACATTTGTAGATGCCATGAGTGACCCGATGCTTGAATTCACTGTCATTGTGTGCGTGAAATTCTCACTAAACCTGCTGATGCTATATCATGGCAACTGTTAACTTGTGTCTGTATCTGTTTTCAACCCAAAATAACAAATCAATTGAACTGACCAAAAATTCTATTAATTTGTGCATGGGAAAAAAATTTATTACCACGAATTAATGAAGCAATAAACCACAAGAATCCATGACATATATACACATGAGTGTGTATATAATCAATGGAATGGATTGTAAAAATCGAGTGGTATACTCAGCTCTGGTGGTGGTTTATTGCCATTATATTAAACATAATTTTAAATACAATTCCGAGACATGTACAAATGTGATACAGCACCCAAAATAATATTTTGTTTTTTGTTAGCACAACGTTTATAAATGTAAAATCTTCACAATTGACATAATTAATACCAGGGGTAAGTAAAATAAACACTGCCACTTATTAGAGTTGTTCAATCAGAATGATGTACATTGTATCTGTGCAACTGAAATACTGGTGTAATATAATAGAGTTCTGGGGTAACACTATAAATACGATGTCGCCATATTCAGGAAACAATGCCAACAAATAAAATAGTTTACCAACCCTAAATTTGATATTTCCAGTTAGTTGTACAATAGTTCATTCACTTAGTGCTGTATGTGCGATTCTACATGATGGCATTAGTGGCTGTATTTTTTCTGGTCATGCAGGTTATCCAATAACCCATGCAGAAAGCACAAGTGTCAGATCTAATCAGGACATTATTGCATTACACTGTCATATCAACTGACACTTGCTGCCTACACTCATTATGGACATACCTTTTTATGTGTACTTGTCATTCTATCCATCCTGCCATGTATCTCTGATATATGCTGCTCCATCTCGTCAATACGTTTTTGTAACTGTTGCTTTTCATCAATGAATCCAACTCTCTGTTGATCCAACTGCCTATGGTTTGCTTCTTCTGCTTTCTCAATCTCGGCAACAGCCATGTTGAGCTCATTGCCCAAAAGCTCAACTTTATTGTTTAGTTTCTCATTCTCTGATGATAGTTCTTGTTCCACACCTTGCAGACTTTGAAGTTCTGTTCTGATTTGATGCAGTTTTTCCCTGAGATCAGTATTTTGCTGTGTTTCATGATGTAGCTGATCATTTAATGAGCTTCTCTGCTCAAGCTTTGTTCTAAAGGAAAATACAAACAGAAACAATTATACTTTTAGTTCTCTGCTGCAATATGCGATTTTAAATAATGATAATTTTTAAATACCAGTTTCAGGTTTGTACTGCCACAGGGTGAATTTTTTAATGTAATTATAGGCTTCTGTGAAGTCTTTTACGAGAAGAAAAAGAAAAATAGATCCGACAAAACACACTTTGATTCAACAAACCTAAGATGCAGATGTGTCTAAAACAAATACAACAGAAAAAAATAAGAATTCACATGAAGTCACTTGTGCAGTAACTACTAGTTTAAGTGAGAAATCAAATATCGATGTTTTATTTCTAAATTTACCTCAGAACAAGGCACTCCTTTTCGGATTCTTCTCTCCTAGTTTCAGCATCCTTAATTCTGTCCTCTATCCTCTCTTTTTCATCTGCCTTTCTAGACTCTTCTTCAACTTTTCTTCTCTCAATTTCTTGCAACTTGGCTTCTAATTCAAGCCTAGAAAATAAAACAATTACTCGTTTTCAAAATTGATTTAAAGATATACATGTATTGTATACTGAGATACCCCCTTATGCATCATTGTCTCGAAAATTATGCAAAATACAGACAAGATAAAAATAATACAAATTGCAAGAAAATTGCTGGATAGTAGTAATATCTTTTGTCAAATAGGTTCGAAAATGAGCATAACAAGGATGGGTAACTGAACTTGTTTCCATGGAAATGAAATTTAATATTATTAATAAGCTCAAAATGCTGGTCATTTTTGAACAGAACGCAACATTAATGACATGGGCATATCATAGAGTATAGAATAAATTGGAAGGAAGTTTAATACAAATGTAGATGTTAAAGCGGGGGAGTCATCACCTGCGCATATGTCATAGCGTGTCATTGTTTACAAACAATCGTCTACCTTAGCATGTCTTGTTATCGTTGCTTGAGACTTAATTCCCACGCGTGCACAGGTGATGAACCTCTCGCTTTAAACTAATGTGCAATATGGACTGAGCACTTCTGTCAATCACATAAAATAACTACTACTAATACATGTACCTCTAAAAATACCGTTTACCATTATGATGTTCACAGCATCCTAAATGCAAGATTAGGTTTTGAAACTTGATTTATTATGCGACAGAGGTTTCCAACTTTATTAATTACAGGTTATTACATCAGAGTACCATTTTCCCAAATCAATTCAATACAGGATATCCAAATGGCTTGAATTACTAATTACAAGTAAATCCTATCATCCCCGTTTCATATATTGTGTGATATGAAATACATGTACTAATTAAATTTAATACAAGATGTCCAAGTTTAAATTAGATACATCATTTACACTTCCATTCTATGATAAATCAAGCCACATGAATTTAATTAATTAACATTATGCTGTCTGCACCATAATGACCTGACTGTAAAGCGCAGGCACATGATATCATCCACACTATATTTGATTTTATTACCGAATCAAGATTTTATTGGATGGCACAAGATTATATTCTAGGCCATAAATTAAGCTGTTTCTGAACCACTGATTTAATCTTTGCGGTAAATTCTCTGACGGTAGATTTGTGGATTAATTCAGAATATCCATCATTAGGATTATACATAGAACTTTTTTTGGGAAACACGAATCAGATTAAAATGTTCCATAATCTACTATCAAGAGAGATAAGTATACATTGTAGTGGCATATTCAAATTATTAGTGTTGACACAAAGCCATTCATATTTTTCATATTTAAATTTGTGTGGCTTACAATGTGTTAAACTTTTTTAACATACTGTAAAAGGATTAATGATTACAGCAAGTCTCAGAAGTATTGGGGCAGCCAATTTGCAAACTCGCTAGCAAATTGGCTAACTGCTTGGGTTTTGACTAAACGGTTGGCTTTCGAATCTCGCTGGTGCCGGTTTGTGATCGCGTCCATATTGCATTAGGGGACATAGAATGTTTTTACGCATCCTCGGGCTGGTACATGTCTGGATTCCCCTGCTGGCGTGATATATTATAAATGCGATTAATCTACCGATAATTTATTATGAGATTAACCTTCTTGAACACTGCTTGAAACCAAATAAACAAGTTGAGAAACAGTTTCCTACAAATCAGGGAGAAAATAACAAACTTTCACACTCAAACGATCCATTGGGGTAAGCCAACCGCTGAAAAAAATCGACCTCATTCGTCGTTTTTGTGTGGACAGGAAGAGCATAGAAGACTTTCCCTGGCATATTTCAAAGCGAAACTACCATCCAACTGTAAAGACAATCGCTGATTAGCTCATAAAGTATGAGGATCGTCCCCTACTGTTACATAGATTCGTCTTATATGGGCGTGACCGCAAGACGGCACCAGCGAGATTCGAAACCCAACTGTTCAGTCAAAACCCAAGCAGTTAGCCAATTTGCTAGCGAGTTTGCGATTTGGCTGCCCCAATACTTCTGAGACTTGCTGTAAGGATTAATTAAATTAAAAACTGGGTTTTAATTTTGCTTATTTCGCTGACTGGAAAATGTGCTAAATTAAAACCCAGTGAATATGTAAAATTTAGCATAGAACACATTATCTAAATGATAAAACCATGAATTTAAAACCCACTGAATATGCCTGAAATGGTAAATCAACAAAATTTAAACCCAGTGAAAATTAGTCATTTTACAGTAGCAGTTATATAAGCAGACCGCTCTGAAAACTGAAATGTCATTTTAGCGTGGGCATTTTTTTTTTTCACAAGAATATGAATAAGTGGCCACTGCAATTATAATTGTTATTCGTAAATAATAATGTAACACACTGACAACTGCAATCACATATGATTACACAGGCATGCTAACAGTAACAACCTTCTTGAAGACATTTTTTTGCCAAAATCTTGCTTGTCAAACCATTATTTGTCTTGATTAAAACAACATCAGTGTGATTGTTGATTGCGTGTATCAATAGATGAACATATTGATGGTGCATCAGAATTTAATGATGATTACCCAGAAAATGTGTAAACTGAGGATAGACATGTAAGCATTTCAATTTAGAATGATAATTCAACAGCTTGTTATATATCGATTACTATTAATTTTTGTGTAAAACAAAATATGCGCATTTTTATACAAACTAGCCGTTGTTACAATGATTCTATGCTATACTACATCATATGATGTGTTTCAAATGAAAGGTCTTGAACACTGTTCAATGAATAAATTCTGTCATTTTTTACAAAGATGAAAATTACGGTTTTAGAGCATGCCTAAATATTAATAGACATATTTTATTTCCAAATATGGTATAAACATAAATTTCTTGAACACAATCTATTGTGTATTACATTGAACTAGCATTGTCATATCATTCATTTCTCAAACCTAGCATAACAGTAACAAAGACTCACTTTTCATTTTCCAGTTTGTTAATCTTTTCCCATTCTTCTTCCCTCACAGACTGAACCTTGCGTACCATTTCCTTTTCTTTTTCTGCCAAAGTGGTTGTCTGCGTGTCCAACGAGTATTGAAGTACTTCCACTTTTGTTCTATAGCCTGCAAGTCAACCGATGAGATGTACATATCACTGTGTCATCACTTTACAAATCATAATAAAAATATCATAAATAATATCTGGTTTACTTTCAAACTAATGGTCTGCTAACCTTCTAATTCATGTGCCAGTGTATCCCGTTGCCTTTCCAATTCCCCTTTACTTTTCACAAGATCCATTTTCATGTTAGTCATGTCAATTTTTCCTCTATGGGTGATTTCTTCTAGTTGGCTTTTTAAAGATGTTTTATCCCTTTCTAAGTCATGTGCCCTAGTGTTCAGTGTTTTCTGCATGTCAAGTGCAGTACTGAGCTCTTGTTGCAACTGATCTACATGCAATTTCAATGATTCCTTTTCAGCCTGTTGATAACAAAATAAAGATTAGTGTTACATGTGTTGTGTAAGATATTTAAAATTTTATTTCTGTTTTTCAAGCAAACTAAAGTTTAACAGTCAATACCAATATTATCATTAAGTTTAAATTTGGATTATATAAATATCAGGAAAGTCAAAACATAATTTACGTAAATGAACAATCGATCAAGGGGCACCTCCAGTTAAGCCCCATTATTCCCTGATGCAATCACCAAAATTGACAGCTTCCCCTTTAGCATTTACTTAGGGATATACGACAATTACATGATTCAATTAAGAAATGCAGAATCAAAATGTGCGGGTCATAATATGTGCATGATGAAATGGAAAAAACATTAAAAATAGTGTCATAACCAGAATTGACAGCTTCCCTCTTTAACATTTACTAGGGATATATGCCAGTTACATGATTCAATTAATAAATGCAGAATCAAAATGTGTGGGTTAATAATATGTGCATGATGAAATGGAAAAAAACAGTAGTGTCCCATTATTTCATAGAGTAATCACCAGAATCGACAGCTTCCCATTTAACATTTACTAGGAATCTACATGTATGCCAATTACATGATTCAATTAATAAATGCAGAAACAAAATTTGTATGATGAAAAATTCAAACGTAAATACTGACAGATTATTATTGTCATCGCCATATTATTCCACACACCAAAACAGCAACATTGCCAGCTAAGCTGCTAACTTGTTTGTTTCTGGTTTGTGCCTGGAGATCATTACATGATTACATCTGGTTTTTTTAAGATATCAGTAATCAGCAATATGCATAATTTTCTGCATAAACTAATCACATCCATGCAAATTAGGTATTTAGTATGTTCGAATTTCAATCTAAAGCTACTAATTAGGTCTGTACTTGTTCGGATCAACTATGTACCAGGTTTGATCAAAATGTGATGAATAATTCAAGAAAAATCAGTGGAAAAGCCAAAAATTATGAAAATTATGTAATTATTATGAATTTATTTAAAACCTAAACTAATTAGGTCGTTGCATTGTCTTAGAGCATTTATGTACCACATTTCATTGAAATAAGATGATTAGTACTTGAAATATTGGTGGAAAAAATTAAAACTAATTA